ATAAAAAATAACTTTAGTGAGGCTAAACACTCCACCATAGTAAGGGAAGGAGATAGAATCAGTTGAAAGGGAGAGAGAAGGGCAGGACACAAGAAACTGGCCTTTATATTTGCCACCTAGGAAAATCTAAATTCTTAAACAATAATTATCTTTTCCTTATTATTAAAGACAGAAATGAGTACTATTTTTTTCTTTTATGGTAATATTTAAGGATTGAAGAGTTAAAGTTGCACCATCAAAGAAAAATATTTATTAATGGAACAATGAGATGTGACCAGGACTGGGCTATGTATATGACCGTGAATATGAAAAGAGACAGTGCAGGGGGGTTTTTTGTTTGTTTGTTTGTTTGAAAAGTATGTAAAAGTAGCGATTAGTTTGATGGCTTACTTTGGACTCAATATTTTTGAATGGGACAATCTCAAATCTGAAGATTCACAAATCCACTGAACCTGGCTTGGTTGGTTCTTTTTAAAAATTGCTAAGCAGACATTCTAACTGTTCCATCGACTCTTATCAAAACCAGGGCTTAAAGATTTCACCATATTTATAGAATGTTTAGACATAGTAGCCCACATAAATTATTACGTTTTTCCTCACAACTGTCTTGACATTTATTTAGCATTGGCTTAAGCCTTAAAAATTTATATAATCCTATATGCTAACAACCCATAAAGCCATAAAACCTCTTGTACAAATCTCAAAGCAGGACACATGAAACGTAAATATTATTTTTAGAATCATAACGCTCTTGCAAATATGCTCAAGTGAGAAACTGGCTGGGAATTTGCTTTCATGTATTTTGAGGATTTCAAGATATATTTTTAGAAACTGTAAAAAAAGCACGGTAAAAAATTGTTGCCAGACACATACACAGACTACAGGGACAAACTCGGTGCTTTGAAAAGATGCCATTGATAGTTACATATAAACAAGCTGAAAATTGAGTCCAACCTCCAAAAATATTCTAAGTTCAAATGTGTTACAAATCATTTCTCCCTGGCCCCTGACACAAAAGGGAACTTTTTCCATATCTGCATGTTATTACAGTGGTTTCACGGACTGTTACATATGTTTACCAAGTCAAATCTTAATGTAGCAAGGGCGTGGAAGAGGTTCTAAGGATTTTGTGTCTGACGTCTCAAAAGTATATCTCTCATCTTTGAATTTTACAATCTTTAATAAATATAGAAAATATACAACACACTAAAGTAATCAAAGCCAAATGTAGGGAGTTTTTAAATGGAATTATATTTTAATGTAGGCTTGAGTGATAGCTCATGGGTAAAAACTTTACTGCACGAGTGTTAAAACCTGAGTTTAATGGACAGAATCCATGTGATGTGACATACAGTACCCTGAATCTGTAATTACAGGGCCCATTTGCCCTGTAGATGGAACAAAGAATTTCAGAAAGCTGGATAGCCCCCTAGGCTGGCATACACAGAACATCTGAGAGACACTGTCACCATGGAGGTGAATGGTAAGGACCAGTCCATAGTTTTTTTTCTGAACTTAACATAAGAACTGAAGCTTTCACTTACTCATATGCACAAAAGTGAACATAGACAGAAAGATTTTTTTTAGTTAAGTAAGAAAGATGAGCTTATACAAACTTCTTTAAACTTCCCTTGGTCTAGACTAAGCCATGCATTTGATTCTACAGAAAAAAAATGCATAAGAAGACACAAAGCAAGGCATGATGGTACATGTCTTTAACCCCAACAAGCACTCAGGAGGCAGTGTCAGGGAGATCTCAGTGAATTTGAAGTCAGTCTGATCTACAAATCCAGTTCCAGGACAAGAGGACAGGTAGAACTGTGTACAAAAGAGAATGTTACAAAAGGAGAGGAGAGAGAGAAAGAAAACTCGAGAGAGGAAGGAAGGGTGGGGGCGAGCAAATGAGAGAGAGAGAGTGCATGTATTATGAATACATTTAATGTTATTTAATAAATTAGCATCTTCTAAAGATGAGATGATGCTAAAATATCTCAGAAGTAAAGTGGTTAGCTCTTTTTGTTCCTGATGTTCGTGAGTACGATTTGCAGTGATTATTGTAGTCCAATACTATGCCCTCTATCAGCTAAAATGTTTGTGTAAAAAGAAAAGAAAGCAAAGAGGAGCATAGATAATTGCTAATGGGCAAGGGAAAAAATTACAATCCAATCTGGCTGTCAATAGGACAATAGGACTCCAGTGAACTTATCTGAGTTTTAAACACATATGGTTGCATGTACACAAGAAACCAAGTGACCAAGTTGGAGAAAATCTTTACCAACAGTTCTTAGACAAGGAGCTAATATCCAGAGTTTTCAAAAAGTTGTAGAAACTAAAGGCCAGATAAATAAAACTGCTGCCCAAAACATGGCCCGATGGATTGACTGGACAGTTTTCAATATATGAAACACGGGAAGCCCATAAGTCTTTTAAAAAGTCTTCTACATCCCTAGACATCAGAGACTGCAAATTAAAACTTTGAGATATAAACTCGTTACACTCTCAACGGCCGTCATCAGAAAATAGGACAAACAGCTAGGGAGTACACAGAAAGTGGACTCTCATTCGTTGTTGTATGTAATGTTGTATGTTGAAATATAAAGTAATACAGCTACCGTGGAAATCATATGAGTGATCTCTCAAGGGGAAAAAAAAGACAGAACTAATTCAAAACAAAACAAAATAAATAGGACTACCTTGTGACCAAGCTATATCACTTCTGAGCACATACCGAAAGACCCTCAGACTCTACCATAGAAATATCTGCCCCACTCTGTTTATTGTTGTTTTCCCTACCAGAAAAAATAGAACCAACCTAGTTACCCTTCATGAGATGAATAGGTAATGAAAATCCGGCATATACATAATACTATTCAACTCTAAAGAAAGCAAGCTAAAACCCCAAATTTTTCATGATAATTACAAGATTTAAAATGTATAGTGTTAATCGTTATCCATGGCTACATGATTTCAGAAGGGAAAAAACAAACACATATGCACACACAAAAACAAAACACCTGTTGACGCTTGTACTCCATCCTATACATTTCAGGCCACGAAAGAAGTTATGACGCTACTCGTTTTTTAGTTATAACTCTGCCATAAATAAATGGAGAAAACATATCTAGTCATGAAAGTATAAAGTGAAAAATCCATTCTGAGCTCCACAGGTACAGAATGACTATTGTAACTGTATACATGTTCATCGAGATGTGTGGACTTTGGGTCTGGCTAATTTCACAATGTGATGTTTTTATTTTCAAATTCTTTATGCTAACGTTTTAATATAATTTTTAAAAAGAAACGAAGCCAAACTGAAGTCTGTGTTAGAAAGCACCTTTGCGGTGTCTTTGAGCTCAAGCATCTTTGTCATCCACTGACACTTTATTACCTGTCAGAGCTGTGTAAATACTGAACCCTCGCGGAGCCAGGGTGCTTCTGCTGATCTTCCATTTCTGTAGTTCAAACTGAAATTATCCAGGGGAAGACGTGTCAGTGGAATGTTTAGGAAGGCTGCATTTTAAGCTTTATCTTCCTTTCTAAGTGCTCGGTGATCTGGTTCTCGTCCACTTCACTGAGAGCTTCTCTAACCTCCCGCAACCCTCGCATCTTTTATCTCACTTTCAGCGTCGAGATGGGGCTAGGCCAACAGTCCCAGGCGATTCCAGAAGAACAACATCCCTGCTGCTGGAGATTTGGGATGTGTCAGACAAATTCCAGAGACATTTGATCTTTGCAGCGCTAAAAGAAAATCTCTACAGCGGCTTGAGCAGAACATTATACAGTTGCCCTTACTCAGTACCAGGATCCCCAGACATGTGGAAGATAGCAAAGGTCATAACTGTACCAGTCACCTTAAAGAGAAGTCCGGTATTCCATCTTGCACTAGAAATGACAAGGGAGACAGTATAGCCAAGGCATGAATGAATGAGTTCAGTACCAACAGTGTGGTCTCTCCAGACACCCACACCCATGCCTCTTCACAGCTGTGCCAGGGCAATTGGTTAAAGCATAAAACCTCTTTCTACAGTATGAAATAGCATTCATAATATATCCTACAGAGATTAAAGGACTTAAAGCCATTGGGGATGGCTATCAGAGAACCACTAACACATCTACTTCTAATAGAACATGAATATTTTAAACATATATGTATATGTTCTTGAGAATATTTTATCTATATTTACATTTTCAAATATTTATGAATATACACAATGCACATACTTGCATCTGCATGCAAATATTCCCCTATATGTACATATAAGGAATATATACATATATATATATATATATATATGTATATATTCCTTCTGCCTATCAGCCCATTGCAGGCTGTTTAGATTCTTTACATCTTGGTAGTTAATATCCCACTCTGACAATCCATTATATGAATAAATGTAGGTCTAAATTCTGCCCTCCCTAGGTTGACTTGGCAATAGTAAACAACATCTTCGGCAAAAAGTTAGTAGGCATTTTCTACATGTTTATTAAGCGTTGTTTGATTAGATGATTAAGTTACTCCAAGTCTAGCTACATTTGTTGAGTTTAATGGTTCAAATTAATTGCCATCGTTGTTATATCCAAATATTTGATTCTTCCTAAGATGTGTACCACTTGAAGTTCTTCCTAACTTAGCCGCAAGGCATTCATATTATCAATGTCAAACTATAACAGTGGGGAGAGTGGCCCTTTCCATCCATCCTGTTTTGATCAGCAACATGTGTGTCTGTCATTTATTTGCAATTAGCTCCTTTCCCTCCTCCATTAGTTCTGAGCAACAGATGGTAACCCAAAAGTGTGACTTTTTGCTATTGGCATGTCCTATATTTCCTTATGATGACCAGATGTCTCTCTTGGGTTTCAGTTGTCATGGGTCTGGATATTTTTTTTCATGTGTATACACTAGGTAAAGAGGTCAAAGCCATAAAATTAGGAGGCAATTGTCCTTATGACAGAGATGGGGGAAAGGCACTTTTATTTAAAAATACACTTAAAATATTTACCTATATAACTTGGGGAGTTACCATGACCACCAAAGTGGTTTTCCAGAGGCGAGCCTTATCCATTGCACTCAAGATATGCTAAGCTCTGCCATTTTTCCTCTACAAAAATAATTCAACCGCATAATTTAAGGCCATGGGGTACTGCATTCGTGATCTCCCTGAAAAAAAATTAAAAATAAATAGCTAAAGTACAATAAAATTTAAAAGTTTACTTAGAGAAGATATAGAGATGGCTGATACTTTTATGGTATTATAATCAACTAATATATTTTTGTCAGCTAATGTTATTCATTATAAAGATGTAAAGAATAGACTAAAAAGAGAAAATCCACATCCCCTTTTGCCTAAATAATTTGGAAGTTTCAGATACAATTTACCTTTTATGAACAAAAATAGGGGAAAAGACTTGGAAGCTGCTCAGTTGTATGCAAAAGTCTTTCTATGACAAAATTTTCAAAAGAGATTTTAAAAGGCATATTTTGCAGAACAAAATTAACCTTCTTTCCCAAGCTCTCATTTGCATTTCTTCAAAGTTATGGTTCCATGGTGCTAATAAAGAGGGTTTTCATGTGGAGATTTCAAGGGGAATGCGGAGTCCTAGACTGGACACTGTCTTCTCCAAGTTATTCAAGATTTTTGTTTGATTATGGCTTTATTTGATGCAAATTCAATGCCCAACTGTGGTGAATTTGAAAGAGAATAAGTTCAAAGTACACTGTGTGAAATAAGAATGATGGTAAATACTTCACCGACTCTTGCAAATGGTGGTTTAGACAAAGCCATAATGCTGTACAGGAAGGGAAACTGCCAAAAGTGTCCAAGGGAGCCGAGAGGAATCTGTTAATACATATGGCCCGTGGACCAGTTTGCATTAGAAAGGAGAATTGAGAATGGCTTGTGGTTAATGATCCTGAAGTCCGAAAACAATTGCTGCTTTGGCTGGTTGGATTTCAATAGCCACCACACTCGAAATATGAATCAGATGAGAGACTGCGGAGATGGTGCTCTTACAGAGGACACAAAATCAGTGCTCAGAACCCACATCTGTCAGTTTACAATTGCCTGTAACTCCAACTAGACGAATGTGTGTGTGCGCGCGTTAGTATGTGTGTGTGTATGTATGTATATAGCTTTGTGTGTGTGTGTGTGTGTTTCATTAGTGATTAGGCTTTTTTTAATCAAGTCAAGATCTAGATATTAATTCATACAACTATAAACACCTGAGTTTTGACAAAGAAGACAAAATTAGACAATGGAAAAAAAGAAAGCATCTACAACAAACGGTGCTGGCATAACAGGGTATCAACATGCAGAAGGATGCAAATAGATATGTATGTATTCCCATACACAAAACTCAAGTCTAGATGAATCAAAATAATCAATACAAATATAGTCACACTTAACCTTATAGAAGAGAAAGTGGGAAGTAGCCTTCAATGCATGGGCACAGGAGACCACTTCCTAAATTTACCTAATTTCTTGCCACTGTCAGAAAATACATTATATTGTCACTACCTGTACCATAACTTCATAATGGAACATTTTTTCCATCTCCACTAATTGTATATGCTATGTCCATTATTACCTACTTTTTGTTAGTAACAAACTGTGAATATGAATAGAGTTTATAATGGATTAAACATTGTAATTTCCCCCCATAATGTCCCTAAAAGACTTTCTTTTTTTCTTTTTTCCAGTCACTGGTACAAAAGCCCTTCTTTAATAGCACCATGGAGGCTTAAACACCCAGCAGTCAATTGTCAACAGGTGAAAATCCCATCCACTGATCCTCTAGGCAAGGCACAGCTTTTAGTAACTTCAATTAGAAGGCTCTAGACAGGGAAGAGCAACTGAAGGCCAGGACTCCAATTGGTCCCAACACTTAACTAGCAGAAAATATTTTGAAAGTATACTGTTGATAAAGAACTGTTTTTAAAATATACAGAAAGCTAATAGCCAGCATTCCAAATTAGTATCACCTATGGAAATATTGGCAGATATTTCACTAGAAAAATAATGTGGGATCACATTGTTATGTGACAACTCATTCATTGTCATTAAACATGATCACCTGTATAATTCACAAATAAACTGCTAATTATCATCAAATCTTTAGAAGAGTAAATATTTTAAGATATATGTTAGTAGTAGTAGTATTTGGTAGCAATCACTAATAGGAACAAATTTTCTTTTGAATTTGAATTAGATGATAACCTGGATATTAATCATACACGGAACTAATATTAAGAACTCTAAATAAAAGCTACCGGCATATGCAAAACTCAGGGATTTTACATACATACATACGTGCATACACTTACGTGTGTGTATATGCATGTATGTATGTATGTGTATTTTTTTAAACAGTTTCTCTGAATAGCTTTGGTGCCTGTCCTGAAACTAGCCTTATTTGATTAGACTCACCTTAAACTTAAAGAGATCCACCTGCCTCTGCCTCCCAAGTTCTGGGAATAAAGGTCTGCACTACCACCACCTGGCTATTTCTCTTAAGATAGTAAACAGTGCCGGGTGTGGTACCACATGTGTTTAATCCCAGGCCTGGGGGGCAGCAAAGCCTAACCACCTGGATCTAGGACAGAGTTGTGCTGGAACTAACTCTGTCCTATAACCAGGTGGTTAGGCTATTTTTGTGTGAGCCTAATCATTAGAAGACGTGAACAAACTCATTCCCCTGAGAGGGAACCAATAACAGACCAAAGTACAGATACTGCCCAAGTCCATCTTGATGAAACAAACGAGTTCTATGAAGGCGACATACAGAAAAAGAAATGACGCCGAGACATGTGATCTGCATCACTAATGCTGACACAGGTGACAAGCCTAGGTGCCGGCTACAGAAACAAGAAACCTGGGAGCATGCTGAACAACCTGCAGGCACATAATTGTCATAGGTGCTCGTTGGGGAGTGTCGCTTCCATGTAGTTCAGTTGGTTTGAGCCTCTTCTAGGCAGCGGAGCTTGTCTGAGAATCACTCAGAAGTCCTTATAACATATATACACTTGGGGAGGGAGAGCCCGAGGGAATCTTGTCAGCTTCGGGACTTCATAAGATTAATGAGCTTCCCTGATGGGAGGAACGGTTCACCTCCACTTAGAACACTCTGTTGTTTCACCTCTAGTAAAGGTCCTGCTCCTTGAAAATCTTCCCTCAAATAGGGAAGGTGTTTATCTGTTACCTAACAGGCACGGGGTTAATGGGATACACTCAGGAAATTACTCTAATTTCACTATAAAAACCAGAGTAGAATGTAGTAAGTCGGCCTGGAAACATTTCTACAGTTAAAATTTTAATCTAGAAAATGTCAGTGACTTAACTTAGTTATTTGCTGTAGTCATTCACAGTTTCATTTCCTGGATTTTTAAATTATGCTGAGGTATACATAACAAAAAATTACCACTTTAACCATTAAGTTAACCAGTGTTATTGTACAAACATCATAGACAGCCATCACACCTTTCTCCATTTTCTATGAATTAATTCAAATTATTTACTTGTTTAACTATCATTTTCAATTTTTTCCTCGTTCTTTCTGGGAAGCCATTATTGAACTTATTTATTATGAAATTTGATGACCTATGTAGTTAATGTAAGTATTTCATAAGCTATGATATCTCTCTTTGTGTGACAGGAATATTTCCCTAAATAAAATGTCTTTAAAGTTGCTTTATATTAGAGGATGGGTCAGGATTAACTTCCACCTCACAACTACATACTATTCTGTTATATGTAAAACACATATTATTTTTTCGCTCCGAGTGTGGGTGGATTCTTGTGTTATCTTTTGGCTATTGTGTATAGGAAAGCTAGAAAAATCACTGTATTACTATCTAAATGAATCTCAGGTTTCGTTTCCTTTGTATATTTTCCACATAAACCATATTTGTTACATACTCCCTCAACTAAATGATTAGCTCCAAGGGATAGGACAAATCAATGCATTGATCTGTGAGTCTGAAAGGATATTTATATGCATTAAGACTTACTGTTGAGGTGTGTGTTGTTGAAGTTTGGCTAGACAGGAGGTGTAATAATAATCCTGATACACTAACTTGTGAGTACCAAAACAAAAAGACAGTTTAACCACTTCCTAGTTCATTCTAGTATTACTGTACAGAATAATGTGATTTTAGAGAATGTAACATACCAACAATAAAGGCAGAATAAAAGAACAGTGTAACCAATTCCTAAGGGACCAACAGTCTTCCAGTTACACCATGTTCTTGTAGGAAGATAAATACACAAACAAAGGAAATGATGTCTGTTTCGAATAATTTACAATCAAATGTTAACAAATGCTCAATAGCCAGAAACTTCTCAGATAAAACATGAAACCAATATAAAGCCATATGGCTAATGGACTTCGCTGCACAGATGGCTCGTAGAAACTTAATGAACATAGTTTGCATATTTACCATACACATGTAAGTTAGGAACTTTAAAATGAGGCACTAGGAGAGAGGGAGCTCGCTAGGCAATCAAATGTATTAAATGGGTGCCGAAAAATATGCTATCACAAAGGAGAATAAGGCAGATGCGAACAGAGAGCAGAGCTACATACAGAAACAGAAGCATTCTATTTCTGAAATCATGACAAATGTTTTACTCTGTCTCAAAGTGGAGAACACACAGGCAATTAATTATTATGTGTGAGAGAAAATCAAGAGTAATGTGAAATTAATAATTTTCGATTATTAAATTAATAAATTGCTAGCATACATTCTAAGAGTTGATATAGGATGATGCAGATTTAATTTTACAATATTGTCTATATTTTAAACTATGCTAAGAGGTCTTTTTGTCTTAAAGATAATGGTTTTCTTTTAATTAATCAATTGCTTTGAAAATTAACATATTTTAAGTTAAATAGAAAAGGCAACACAACAGTCCCTTGTGAAAATCAGATAATGTCCTTGTGTCTAATAAGTTAAATAGAATAATAGGCATCCTATTTTAGGTTTCCTAATAAAAGTATATTTGTGGGACTATGGTTTTCAGTCCATTGAAATAATATGGTACATGTCTCCTACTCCAATGTTGACCAAAATTTAAAATCATATTTACAAGCGTCCATTTTGGCATTTGCATGTCTGACAAATGCCTCTAAAGTATATTTTGTTGCTCTTGCAAAAAAGAGAAATTTC